AATCATTTAAGTATTTTTCTCATATTTGAATTATTTGAACTAGTGAAATGGTGGCCAGGTGCCGCTGGAGCTGCCCGATTCGAATTAATGTAACTGGAGCATTCAGACCCTATGTTGTACAATCTTTTTATGCATTTCAGCACACCAGTTCATCGGTTTCGGTCCGAGTACAAACAGCAACGCAGCTTGCAAGGTCCCGGACATCCTCTAGATCGCTCAAGCAAGTCGGGGGATAGGAATCGATAAATCCCAGTTGCGCTCACACAATTGCAGGAATTGGAACAAACAGATCTTCGTTAGGCTTCAGTACTTGGAGGGATAATAATACATAGATCTTAGTTAGGCTTCCAATAGCAAGATTGTAGTTATACTCAAGTACTTGGCGGGGTAGGAATATGTGCATCTTAGTTGGGCTCCAGTAAATAGAGGGATAGGAATAGGTAGGTAGAACTTGTAAGTTTAGGCACCATTGTGTTCAAGCACACAAATCATTGCAGCAACTCAGTTCATGAACTTCAGTGGTTCGAATACAAACAGCACCGCGTAGCGTGCGAGCTATATTTTCAAGTCCCCATTTGCCAATTTCAATATCTTCAATAAGTCAATTAATTTACTTTACTTTTGCAATAGATAGATCTTAGTTAGGCTCGATAGGAATAGGTAGATCTTAGCTAGGCTTCCTATTTAAATAATATAACTGGTGAATTCAGACCCTATGTTGTCCAATCATTATATACATTTCAGCACACCAGTTCATCGGTTTCGGTCCGAGTACAAACAGCAACGCAGCTTGCAAGGTCCCGGACATCCTCTAGATCGCTCAAGCAAGTCGGGGGATAGGAATCGATAAATCCCAGTTGCGCTCACACAATTGCAGGAGTGGGAGCAGACAGATCTTAGCTAGGCTCGAGTACTTGGAGGGATAGTAATAGATAGATCTTAGTTGTAGCTATACCCAAGTACTTGGCGGGGTAGGAATATGTGCGTCTTAGTTAGGCTCCAGTAAATACAGGGATAGGAATAGGTAGGTCTTAATTCGGCTTCCCACCCTGGTCAGTCGAACTTGTAAGTTCAGACCCCATGGTGTTCAAGCATACGAATCATTCCAGCAACTCAGTTCATGAACTTCAGTGGTTCGAATACAAGCAGCAACGGGCAGCTTGCGAGGTCCCGGACATCCTCTAGATTTCTCAAGGAACTAGAGGGATATGAAGAGTTATCATTCACTGGTTTGTGGGTCTGTCCTGACATGCAGTTTTTTCTTCTTCCGTGTTCGATGGATGTCGATGTTGTTTCCAATCGCAGGAGGGGTTTTTGGCGCAATGTGTGTCGAATCCCTTTCATATTTCTTTAGGAACCTGTTCCAGGGAAGAGAATGATGTCATAGAATGGAAAGTCGTTCCGTTGGTTGGCTCTTCTCTGAAAAGATTTTGGGCTCTGGACTTAGAGCGCTCAGCGGGGCAGCCATGTCCGTGATTCCCCCACGGCCACGGATCGTGCAGCCTCGGGTTGCGGGGGCGCACATCGTGCAGCCTCGTGGGGTTGCGTGGGCGCCGCTCCCTCCAAGTGGCCTGGTATGGAAGCTCCTAAATCAAGGCAGCCTCAGCCTTGTGGTTCCCAAGAAACGCACGAAACATATCGGGCGTCTATGACAAGCCGTGTGCAAAAATAGTGTTATCTGTTTGTTGGGAATTTCAGAGGCTATTTCCGAGAGGTGCCTGGATTTCCATACGAATCGTCAGTTCTTGTTTTTTTCCAGGCATGAGGCATGGTGTGCCCCAGGTGCAAGGACCGATAGGGAGTCACAGAGACTTAGTGAGTTCCTACCTTGTTTTGCACGTAATGAAACCCCCCCTGTTTGAGATACGTTTGTGGGGAACACCAGGCGGTTTCAACCTAGAATGCGCAACCTAACTGCGCCCTTTCTGGTTTGCTGTCGTGGTGACTTTGACACACAGCGTTGTGTCAAGACGGTTGGATTGCATGCCCGCGAAATGTGAGCCATGACAGTGCGAACTAAGAACACAGATCGAGCCACCCGTACTTCCAGCCGCAGCCGCGGCCTATTCTACGCTCGGCTTCGGCGCAGAGTGTGGCCACGCAGGTTGAGCGAGCGCACGCGAGTCCCATGGAGCAGGTGCTGTCGCCGGAGCCTGTGGAGCCGACGATGAGGCCTGCGCTGTCACCAACTATGCCACTGGAGTTGGCTCGAGCTTTGGGGCCAGATTGGCTGGCTGTGCAGTCACGCATTTTGGATGCAGCTGCATTCTGTTTTCCTTACTTTCAAGTTTGCAAGGATTGGATGTCAGGTGAAAGTTTCCGTTGAGGGTGCTGAATAGACAGGCCTTTTCTCTTCTCTTTTGGCACATTGCCTTTTTTTCCGGTGTAGTTTACCATTACCAATAGCCTTTTGTGTGTGCTCGTGCCGACTATCCAAGGTTCCGACCAGAACTTCATCTACCTTTGGAACTTTCGCACCAAGCAATGTGCCTGGCTGCCACATGCAAAGTGAATCGGCCCACTTCTGTATAGTTGCCCTTTTGGGCTTGCACGAGGCTCATGGCTTGCGCGCAGTGTAAGAAGATAATGCACATATGACTTTGCAGGCAGACTGCGTGCAAGCGCGAGAGCTGAACCACACGCACAGAAGAACATTTCTTCAGACCTAGATATGAGCACAGTCACATGTATATGTGTGCGTGTATAGAGATTTGTGTATCTTGTCATTGTTTATAATGTAACCTCTGTGGCCTTATTGGGGGTAAGGGCTGAGTACCAAAGCGCACTTGGTGACACGGTTTCCAGAAACAACAGTGTCAACCATCAGGTCGGTTTCCACAAACAACAGCGCCAACCATGAGGTCGATCAGATTCTCTTTGAGAAACAGATCCAGGACCATCAGAGACTGCTGCCACAGTGGAGTATCTTCTCATCAAGGATTAGGTGCCCACCGACGCGGGACACTTGTGGTAGCGGAGCAGGTTTTTCCAACGAGAATCATCACGATGTCATCAGATGAAGAAGGAAGCTTTTAGCAGTGCAGGTCGACCTGTCAGCAGTACTGAAGCGACACGTAAATTTAATTACGATGGAAAAGTCAGAGCCGACTCACGGGCGATGAGCGGAAGTTTCTGCGCTATTCGGGATGAAGTGTACGCGCACGCTACACATGCAATGTAAACGGGCCCCCGGGGCTGCTTGTGTACGGCGCTGACACTTAGCAGTTGCGATTGTTTCAGGCGTTGTGTGTGCACGGCGGCCAGATTGAATGCGGAGATACTGTAGCGCGTGTGAGGACACAGCTTGGCTCTTGACGGGCCTTCTCGCAGCCGTGTAAGCTTTCAAGCTGTCCTGTTTCAGCTCGACTTCCGCAATCTTGCCAAGTGTGATGTCTTTGACTTGGAGCGGTCGCGGACGCACCCAGTGGGCAGATGTGCAGGACGACTATCAGTGTCAGCAGCTAAGGCGCACCTTTCATCACAACCTCAATTGGTGCCCCTTATATTTAGGCACTTGCCTCGAAGACTTCAGTGCTATGAGCATTGCTCTGGAGACCAGGAAAAGCGCAAATGGCAGGCAGCTTAGTGGGCATGCGTCTAAGAAGTTCAGAGAGTGCCAGCTACGCAGCATGTGCAGCAAGCGAATGACACGGGCCATGTCGGAGCTCAGTGTTAAAAATGTTCTGTGGACAGTCTTGCCGGCTATGATGGACATGTCTGCAAGTCTGGGGTGGTGACTGTCCTTTCGAACTAAGGCGAGGAGGGGTCATTGCCGGAGAGTGTGTCCGAGATGGAGGTGCATGTTGACGGTGAGCCGGGCGGCCGCTGTCTGGGACGTAAGTGCAGGGGAAACATATCTGTCGGCTTGGCGGCTGCTTCCTAAGGTGAGATGGAGTCGCTTGAGGGCCGGGACTGTGACCACAACTGTCGGCTCTCAAGTGTCGGCTGCGAGTGCTTTCCCAATCGTAAGGCACGTAGGCAGGACCGGCTGCCTGCTGAGGTGAGAAGGAGTTCTTGGACTCACCGGATGGAGACGCCTCCGATCTTGAAAATCTTGAGGGCTGTGGGAGTCTCGCCCATCGGGCGTGCTGTTGATCAACCGTGCAGACTGCCAAGGCAACTTGGATCCGCCCCAGGATGGCAAGTATAGCCCTGTGCGCTTGGAGCCTGGCGTAGGACTGGGCAATTTATTGATTTAGACAATCTTCAGATCTGCTTGCCATCGTTGCACAGGTTCGGACATTGACGACAGTGCCTGGGCTGGGCAGAGCTACAACACAGTCATTCCGGAATTTGACGGCCTGTTTACCGTGCCTGTAGCTTGCAAGGAGCCAGCTTGAATATCGAGGATGGCTACTGCGTCGTAGCTGGATTATTGTCGCAAGCTTGCGCCGCTTACACGGATCACCTAATAAGTTAGTGCATAGACCAAGGCGACTGGTACATGCGGGAAATTTGCGAGCGGCTTCTTCACGAGCACGTCTGTGAGGTTGTGATCATGGGACGGAGTGCAGAGCTCGAGCACAGATGGTCACATAAGCATGCATTGACATTGCCGATGCACACGTGCGGCTGCCCGCTTCAGGTGACTACTTCGCACCTTGCATTCTCGAAAGGCTTGAGCGCGAGTATCAGCGCTTCGTCGAGCACTACGAGGGATGGCGCTGACACTTTGGCAAGTTCTTGCTTTTGATCTGGTGTACACATGAACTGAGCACTGTCCTCCTAGTGCTACCGTGCAACGGTGCTGGCCAGGGAAGAACTGCGGATTCGCGGCGACATTCGTGCGCCACACTTCCTGTCCAGCCCTGTATGACGGAGGCGGGCCGATAGCGAGAAGGTAGGTTGTGGAAACCTGGTTGGTCACTGTGCTTGTCTTGTCGTGTTAGGCAGCAACTGGCTGGGAGTGGAGGACCGCTGGTGTACCTGGATTGCATGAGAAGCTTTGTTACACAAAGGGTACTAGTTCAGCCCTAGGTGATGGCCTGGTCTACGGCATCATGCGTCGTGCGCTCACCACTACGCACATGACGGTGTCCGATGATGTGTCTTGGCGGAAGATTCCCCGGAGCAAGTGGTATTGCGGATCCCACGGCAGTGGCAGCGAGCCGAACAAGGATGGCAAGAAGCCGGTCTTGCCGGAGGATTATGCAGAGGTGTCTTGCGTCGCGGGGAAGGACACGCGGCTCAATTTGGTGGAGCTCACGCGCCGTCAGCGCAAGAGGCTGCGCGAGAAGTACTACTGGGATCATGTCTTGTGGACGCATAGCCGGCAGCTGCAGCGGCACCGGTTGTGGATGCGAGCGAAGGAGGACAGGGAGTTTCATGAGATCATCGAAGAGTATCAGGAGATTCTGCGTCGGGAGTACGAGCAGATGGCGCAGAAGCAGGCAGCTATCAGCGTGCCAAGGATTGCGGCCAGGCGGGAAGTTCAGCCGAAGTGTTGTCCAGCCCTCTTTTTTTTCGCCCGGACAGGCCCGACGAGGAGACCGCGCGGGATCGCAAGCAAGATGTTTGCTTGATTGATGCGTTGAGGTCGTTGGGAGTCCAGCTGTCGTATCAAGATGACGGCCCCTTCTGGGCCTTGACAGATGGCAATAAGTTTCTGCGTCCGCACGGGCCTCTTGCCAGCAGAGGGCATGCGTCTAAAGAATTATGGGACAACGTGTTCATGTAGTACGTGCACCTGAGGAAATGTTTACGAAGTGTCGACGTGAAGGACTGTGCCATGCCCGGCAAGTACGTTCTTTTCCGAGCCAAGCATTTCATGTCCCTAGAGGTGCGCGCAGATGGCACGAATATGTGGCGTACCACCTGCAAGCGTCATGTTGGCTGCGCCGATGTGAAACTACCTCTTCTGCTACGTGCGATGGAAGCCGCTTTCCAGCTGAAGGAGCTGTCCATTTCCTTTTGCGAGCAAGAGACAGATGTCTTGGGCGGTGCGAGCTCGGAGATTCCAGTAGTTGAGAAGATGCTGGAGTCCAGTGCAACGCCGAGCAGTTTGGCTGGAGAGGGCAGCGCAAGCACTGCTCTGCAGAGCCCAGCTGACTGGCTACAAGTGTGTCGCAACCGAGCGCGGGTGCTTGAGCGGAAGCGCAAGACGACTCAAGACGTGGAGGAGCACAGCTCTTCTTCTACGTGCAGCTTCGCACACTCTTGGAACTTGGCCATGCCACCAATGACTCTACAATGTTTTGGAGTCGCAGGCTCACCGGCGCAGGGCGTGCGCATACCTCTGCTGCCTTTAGATGAGGGCATCGTCGCATTGCCGGTCCATCCTACCGGCCAGGAGGTGTCCCCCGAGTTCACGTGGCTGCGCCGCTGCCACCCCCACGAACTGGATGCTGCTATTCGATTCCAGCAAGACGGGCACAAGTACTACGTGCATGATGCAGAAATGGACTGCTCTGTCACATCGCTCATTGCGAAGTTCTCTGAGGCTGGGGTGCTTCGGTGGTTGTGCGGCTTGTAGGGGTTTCGGGCAATTGCTTTCCCTGCGGATGGTAGGAGTTTGATGCAGATCGGATCATCCAGAAGATGATGGCCGGACATCGCTGGCCTCGGGAAGGATACATGAAGAATCTTCAGGATGAGTCTCTCCAGATAAGGATCGCTGCGATGCCAGGGCTGGAGGAAGTCGCACGCATTCTACAAGCCCCTGCCACCACACAGCAGCAGGTTTCCGTCGTCCTCCGGAACACGCTCTACAAGTGCGACGAGACAGCTGCATCTCTTCTCCAGCAGCTTGTCATGACTCCTGAGGAGATCAAGGTGCATTGGAGAGAAAATGGGGAAACCGCAGCTGCAGCCGGCACGTGGGTGCACTTGCTGTGCGAGTGCGTCCTCAACGGGGGCACAGTGACGGGTGTGTCAGAGGAGATGCGAAGCTTCAATGCCTTCCTGCGCAGCACGCAGCCTCTCATTGCCTACCGCACGGAGTGGTGTATCTGGGCTTCGGCTGAGAAGATTGCAGGCTCCATTGACTTCGTTGCACAGGATGCGCAGGGCGACCTCGTTCTGTTTGACTGGAAGAGGACCAAGGGTCTGCCAGACAAGTTTGAGAATCGTTTCGCCTGCATGAAGCCTCCTCTGGGTCATCTTCCTGATGCTACTGGTGTGAAGTACCGGCTGCAGCTAAACATCTACAAGCGCATTCTGGAGATGTACTATAGTGTGCGTGTGTCCGGGATGTTCGTGGTTTGTCTGCATCCGGAACACGGTGGTCAGCCGTGGCTAGATCACGTGCCCGATATGATGGCCGAAGTGGACGCCATCATGGCCCAGCAGCGCCAGCGCCTAAAGCAGAAAGACGCGCGCGGCGGTGCCCGCCCTGCCTTGCTCTCATCGCTCCACGAGGATGTTGTCGGCTGTGTCGATTTGTTTGGCTTGAAGACAAACCTTCGAGCTGCGCGCGTTCTGTGCGGGCCTACATCTATCCGAATTGCTTCCTTTCTTGGGCAGGATCATGATGGTTTCTGGGTTGTTCCTGGCCCTGAGAAGCTTCCATGCATATGCTCAACAAGGGCTTTCTCTCTTACAGCCTCGCAGAAGGATGTGTGTGGTGGGGCGGCGGAGGAGACATCTCAAGAGTTCTTTCCAGCAGTAGGTGAGGCAGCGCCTGGGGAGGATGTCGCGGCGACAGCACGAATGTCGACAAGCCCTCGAACAGCGGCAAAATCACAGCCCCGCCCAGCAGACAGGCCGCGTGCCGAAGGGGCAGTGGCCGCGGCTTCCAACGCACTCCCTCCAATGTCACAGGAGGGCGTGAAAAAAGAGGACGACGATGGGCTTGATCTATTGGGCAATGATGCAGCAGCAGAACAGGCATGGCGGAAACTAAGGCAACGCCGCCTTATGCCAGGAGCGGCGACGTCGGATGCGGACTTTACTGGTCTGTTTCGTCAGCTCGCTGACATGAACACAGTCTTCCAGACCCATGGTCAGCCTGAACCCATTGATGCCTCCGACACTATCACGGAGATGGTGCGGCACTGGTCGGAGTACGTGCAGAGTCGCTGGGCAGAGGCTTCCGACTCGCTCATCCGCTTGTGTGTCGGCGCTCTGGCTTTCGGACGTGTGCGGCAAGCCGACATCCACTTGCGCGAGCACGCACAAATCTACTGGATTGCTGAAGGGCGTCGCAGCCTCCGATTTCACAACGGTGACTGCTATATGCGCACTGCTTCGGGAGCCTTCCAGCAGCACAAGGGAGTTCCGCCCGACAACGGCAGGGTGCAGACCTTCATGCTGCAGTTGGAGGGCGTTTACAGGCTTCTTCCGAAAACAGTAAGCCGAACCTCGCAGAGCCTGACCACTGCCGTGATGGCACTCTGGGAATCAAATGAGAAGAACGAGACCGAGTTTTTGGAGGCTTGTGTGAACGCGGCTTTGGATGCGCACACTGAGCCAGGCCGCAGAGGCTTTGGAAGGGGTGCCGAGGAGGAAGAACGTCCTGGCGAGCCAGCTGTGGCCTGGACCCTGGCCACCGCGAAGACAATCCTGGCTGTGAAGAAGCAATTGACTAGAGAGATCACCGAGGACAAGCTCCTGCACTACATGAGTGAATGGTGCGACACTCCAAAGACTCCCTGTCCTTCAGTCAGCTACGAGGATTGCTCTATCATGTACGATGACGAACTCGTGCCAGCCCGACAAGTTCTGCGAATGCAGCTCGAAGATTGCTATTTGCGCATTCCGCATGCTCTCCGCTACACCGTCCCTCCCCATATTGCTGAGCGACTGCAAAAATTCTACATGCAGACATTCTGGGGGAATTTGCCGGTGTTCAAATGCGGTCAGGCAGCGCAGGCCTTAGCAAAAAGGGGGATCAACGTGGTTCGCTTGTTCATCGGGCTCTCTAGCGGTGGTGTCGGACAGTCACTCTATTCGACGCACCTGCAAGCCATATATGCGCACAACTTTGCTTTCTTTGATCCCAACATCTGGTTTCATGATGAGGAGATGAGAAAGCAGGTCGAGCAGTTGAACGGGTGCTGTATTTTGACAGGGCAAGAGACACCCGCCACGGGAAGAAAGCTGAGGGAAGACCTCTACAAAAAGTTTGTGAGCGGGGATGGCATTGCCGGGCGGAAGCCATACGGCTTTAAGACACGGATGATCAACTGTGTCGGCTGGAAGCGGTTGGAGGCAAACCGCATGTTCCCGTTCGCCGACGTGGGAAGGAAGGACTTCAATGCCATCCTCCGCAGATCGCTGGTGTGGCGGGTGAAGGCTCGATTTGAGGACCCACAAGCGCTCGCGGCCGCCTACGAAGATATTTTCCGGGATGGTGTCTTCCCAAAAGATTCGGATCTTGCCGATTTCTTGCGCTCAGCCCCGGCCGTGGCAGCTGGCCTTCAGCTGCAGCACGCATTCGAGACTCAGTACTCCAAACAGCAATGCATCGACCTAATTGAAGATTACGTGGTGTGGGGCGGCGACTTTGGCCTCACTGAAACTACGATGCTGGAAGCGTGCGGGCTTCCTCCTCGAGACTTGCGGCACGCAACAAGCAGAGCGGCGGCCGTCATCAATGTTGAGGATGTGGAGGAAGTCAAGGGAGCCGACGAGCAGTGGCAGCAGCTTCACAACACCCTTGTTGAGCACATGCTGGACAAAAGACGACTGCAAGCTACGCGACACAGCATCCGCGATATGAAGTACAAAGACGGGCCGAATGTTTCGAAGGAGGCTATTCTGGATGGCTTGCTTCAGTTGCAGCTGGTCCGCCAGGCCACAGGGAAGACACGCGCAGAGGTGGCCTACATACCGGTCATACGCTGTCAGAAAACACTCAGCGATCTCATAGACTACAAGTCCAGAGACAGTGAAGTGAAGCTTCCCGAGGAGTACAACATTACGGCCTTCACCCAGTACATGCTTGGCCGGCCTTTCCGAAAAGAAAACGCGACAGTGCTAGCCAAGGTTCTGAAGGCGCTTGGCAACAGCAAGCGCGCTGGGCGCGGCCGTGCCACAGCCGACGCACAGCGGCAGAGGGAGGCTGTCCTTGAGAGGGCGCAAAAAATAGAGGACGCAGAGAAGAACGGAGATGACCTGCTGGATACACTGAGTGAAATCAGCGCGAAGAGACGGCGCCTCCACGTCAAGACCGAGGGTGCTAGAACAGAGGCCGAGGAAGTAGGGAGAGCTACCAGACAGTGCAGCTATCACTACAGCGGTCCCGAGAGCGTGCGAAGCAGGAAGTATGTCACTGGGGTGGGGGCGCAGAAGTTCCCTCGAAGGGCCCAAATGCATCTGCTGCGCGGCACATGGGACCTTGACATCGAGAATAGTGTGTTTGCCATGCTGCACCAATTGCTGCAGGAGCTGGGCCCCAAGCCAGCCATGCCCGCAAAAGCGGCAGCGGCGTTGGCCGACTGCGCAGAGCGGCGGCACCATGTCATCGGCGAGGTCTTGAAGATGACCAAGGATGAGGGGAAGCATCTGTTGACGTCTGTGTTGCACGGAGGTACCATCCCTCCAAGCTGCGACGGCCAGGAGTTTCTACAAAATTTACAAAGGGCGTCTATCTATTGCCGCTGGGTAGCGGTCTCGCTCCTGCCTGCCGAGTACGAGGCTTTTTGCGCAGACCCTAGCAAGAAAAACCCTGAAGCATCAGCGCTTTCGCATCTGTACATGGCTTGCGAGGACGTTGTGCTCTCAGAATGGATCCGGTTTCTTTCGGCTGAAGTCACACCTACTCACCTGTCCTTGCATTTTGACGGGGTACGGGTCTCTGCCTCAGAGCACGGAGATGCAACGGCCTTAAGTGCAAAGTGTCAGGAGGCCATTGCGAGCAAGACCATTTTCAAGCTGCGGATCCGAGAAAAAAACCACGCAGCTGTCATGGCCTTGCTGCGGGGTGCTGCCACACGCCAGGGCCCTCCGCGGTTTGAGGCTGGCACCACATTGACTACATCAGGCAACTGTATCCCTCACGCACTCGCGTGCCTGGACTCTTTGTCAGAGGAGGGCAAGAGCAAATTGGATGCCACCACAGAGCAGATGAATGTGTACATGGAGCAGCGGGGCTGTCGCACCTACCAGCAATGCTCGGCGGCCTTTGGGTGTCTTCTGCATCCGGTTGTGTTCATCGACGCCTTGCCGGTCGGAAAATTTCTTCTGCATGCTGAGAACGATGGCAGTCCGCATTGTGTGGCAGTGCATAGGCGTGAGGTCCGAGGAGCCTTCGAAGTGACCGTGTGGGACACTGACTGCGCACTTCATTTGTCAGACTCTGCTTTCCGGCGATGCCTTTCCGATGGAGTGGATAGCAAGACCTGCGTCTTTTATTTGCTGGAGCAGCCTGCGGACGGTCTTTTCTTGGCCGTTTCTGAAGCAGAAGTCTCTCAGCTCCTGGACATGGCTGCGGGCGCCGTGGGAGAAGTGGATTTTTCGATGGATGTCGACCGGATGGGGTTGGGGCAAGATGCTGGCGAGGAGACGGGCGTTGATTGGCTGGATGCTGACGGTGTGGTGACGGTGGACGCGGTGCTTTTGCAAGAATTGCGCCAAGAGGTGCTGACATGCATCGCCCGGGCAGGGCGCGGGTCCCTGAAATGCGTGGGCGGAATGTACCGCTGCCCGGCTTGCCCCTTTCGAGCTTTCCGCGATTGCTCGCGCGTGGCTCAGCACCTCCGACGCTACCACACCGAGAAGCAGCGGTTCTGCTGTTCTGGAACAAAGCAGTTGCGGGTGCTGCTCTCCATCCACGACACGGACATGCTGGCTGAGAGCCGTGGTGGCCGGTACCTGGAAAGAAGCGCGAAGGTGATCCGCGAGCTTGTGAAGCCTGGGCTTCCCATCAAGAACAACAACATTGATCGAGGCTTCCGATTGGTGCTCGATGCCGGAGGCCCGACACTCATGAACGTGGCCGTCCTAGCCAAGGGCACTATCGCTCGCAGGGTCGGCAAGATCTGGTACACCCGCGCCTTCGCAGAGCGCCTCTTCCAGGAGATCTTGCTGCAGCACGCCAAGGCTGGACCGGAGTAGCAACTAGATCGATGTTAATTTCGCACGAACTATATCCCACGCATCCCTGAGGTGAAGACAGTCTGGCCACGTCTCATGCTTGATTCAGTCAGCGCTGGTAACGTGCTGACCAACTTGCTGCCCGGCCACACTGCGACTTGGTGGCCGTTGGTGGAAGATATCCTCCGATCGCCTGCGTGTGTCGCCTTGAAGCAGAACCTTCTTAGCACTGCGAATAAGCACGGCGAGTATGAGTATTTATCTATAGATGGCACATTCCGAGCTTGCATGATGCTGATGGGCCAAGCTTCCTTCAACGCACCAGCCGCTGAACGAGCAGCGCAGCCATTCACAGACGAAGATAGCTTCCGGCGTGTCATCACTATCCGGGGCAGGAGCGGGGCAGTGCTGGGCTTGGCGCCTGCCATCGGAGAACGCGCAGAGCATATTGTTTCGTGTGTCGTGGATGCTCTTCCAGCAGAAGCCCTGCAGCGTGTCAAGTATGTTGCGTCCGACTGCCCCTCTGCGAAGCTGATGGGGCAGCTCCAAGCAGTTCTACCAAATCTTCAGGCGCTGGTGCTTGATGGAACGCACGCCGCCATGCACTACGAGCAAGCTACCAACGGCCGGAAGACAGCTGGGTCAGCACTTCTGCGGAAATTCTTGGCCAAGTTCTGCCCGAGGGACAACGCGCTGGCTGTTAACATTTGGGGGGCGCCCTACGACGGCTCGCTGCCGGCGCGGCTAAGTGCCCCGGAGAACGCCCTACGGGAGCACATCATCAAGGGCACGCTGGGGCTGCGGCGGGCTCGGCACGTCTTGGCCTCGGTGGACGGGCTGTCTGCCTGGCCTACACGGATTCAGTTCATCGAGGCCGTGGCTGCTCTGGCGCGGGAGCACTCCAAGGACCTGGAGCGCAAGATCGAAGGTACCCGGGAGACGGTGGGCAAAATTCTCTATCACCTCACGGCCGCTGATCGGCTCGAGTGGCTCTTCAACAACTTGCGGCTCCGGACGTCCATGACGTCGGCTGCGCTAGTGCTGCTTCCGTCTGGCACCACGGGGAATGAGGCCTTGCATGCGGAGCTTAACGCAGCCTTTCGCCAGGTCCAGCAGCTGCATCGTAGCACTCTGCAGCTTAAGCTCAACATCTTGCACTTGGCCAAGCTCTTGCCCCACCACGTTGCTCTACACAGCCCCACCGCCAAGCAAATGCCGGCTGGGCATGTCTTAGCGCGACGGGTGGGGACGCCCTTGTGGACAACGAGGATGTGGTCATCGTGGGTGGCTGAGCAGCACGCAAGCGGGGCGGTAGGGCGTTGTAGTTTGCCCCTGGCTGCTCAGCGGCAGATGGAACAGGAGGCCATTCAAGCTGCCCGAGGTCTAAAGCGACCTGCGGCAGGCATGCGGAAGCGCACTCCATTCACCTTGGAGCGGGCGCCAGGGGCAAGCGCAGCAGGAGTGCGCTTCCGCAGGCCCGCCTCGCACGCGCCAAGCTAAACGGGTCAAGAACTGCACCAAGCACTTGACGGCTATGTTCTTGACGCTGCCAGGACAACACTAAGAACAAGAAGAATTTCTATGCAATTGTCTCTCTTTGGGGCACATGGGAAGTCAGCCTCTGCACGCTTTGTAGGGGAATTGCCTCTTGTCTCTGGCAAATCAAAAGTCAGCTTCTGCACGCTCTGTAGGGGAATTGCCTCTTGTTAAAGCGTTTGCGTAGCTGGCGCTCTCTGGCTTCCTTGTGTGGCTCACAGCTTCACATCGCACATTTGCACGAGATGTAACAGGTCACGCTGGTAAGATATGTGGGTGGCTGGATATATTTAGCTCACACACAGTTTTGTTCTTGTGATGCCGAGAGATGTTCATGACCTAGCAATGCTGGTGTGGCAATCTTTTCGCAGCCTTCTGCAGCCGCCGATGTGGTTGGGCCATTCAGGCTGCTCAAGCAAAATGTCTGGGAGGATGTTTGTTGTTGGTTGCAGCAACCTTCCCGGCCCAACCATAAATCTTTTTCTGCAGTGTGCGCACCAAATGAGAGCGTGCGGCGGAGCATAAAAAAAGACGCATATGCCCGGGATTGCGTCTATCCTGTGTCTGTGCGCATGTGCCTACGTGCCTTTGTGCCTTTGTGCCTTTGTGTGTGTGTGTGTTGCACGGTTTGCGTACCGCAACCTTGGCGCAACACACTGCGCCGTATTGTACGCAATCTTCCCAACCACACCCCCCCCCCCCCCATTTCCCCGTGGCCTTCTCTGAGAGGCCTTGTTTCTTAAACCAAATTGGCCACATCCCGCTCCCCCCCGCTAGCTAATCTCAGTTCCACGAAACACTGCTTCCTTTTGAGGGTTACAGGCACAACAAGAGCAGAACAAGCTCCAGTCAGATCCATAGGATCAACATCATTCAATACAAAAATCAATTGGTTGGGTTACAGGAGATTCTACAGGAAAGCAGCTGATTTAGGGTGTTTTGGGGCCATTTCCGCTAGATTTTCCCGTAACCCAACCCTTTGAAAAAAAGAGAGAAGTCCGTGAACCACGGAGCTTTCCCCGTAAAACGCCCGAAGAGGGCCACCGGAGTCTCCATGTGACAAAATGATGTGCAGAACCCCTGGCTAACTTTGATCGGGTCGGCGCCCCTTTTCAGGTCGTGTTTTTTTTTTTAACGGGAAACGAAAGAAGGACAGCCACCATATTTGAGAGTCCCAATACCTATGCGGGGGTGTCGTGTTTTTGGGGGCCCTCCTTGGTTTTCCTTTTGGTTTCCCTTTAAACCCACCAAAAAAGGAATTCCCAAGAAGCAAAGAGACCCATGTTACCCATACCTTTCATGGCGGCAGAAAGAAATCATGGGGACTTGGCGAGGATCTGCAACATCGATGGGTAAGGGACCGAATCAAGTCGGGGGCGCCGGTGTTTCCGGAAACACCCACAAGACTATGCGACAGCTGCCACGGCAAATTGGCCAAAAGGAAAGCCATTGGGGTGAAGATAAAACCCTCGAAAACTCGAACCGCCAGTTTTTGTCCCATCCACGCCATGTAGCTTAGAAAACTGCCATCGGTTCCGGCGATCCTTCCACAGCTTGTTCCTTCGTCTCTTTGCCTGATTTGCGACTCGTCCAGCCCAGCCTTTTACATGGGCGCCCGTTTGAGGTCGGAGCTGATCCCAAAAAATCCCGATCCCAGCGTCTCTCGCGTGGCTTCGGAAATGGTTCCGTTGGTTTCCCGAGAAAGTGCGAACAGCGGGTGCCCAAAAAGGAAAAACGAGTTCCCCTTGCAAAGTTGCAAAGGGAGGTAGTATGCGTTCAAAGGAAGACACAAATCTGACCAGACGGTCAACGAGATCAATGAAGAGGCTATACGCGCACACAAACACAGACATACACACGTATCCATTGAGGAAGGCGACGCTATTAGCAAGCGCCATGCCTCAGCGATGTCGCGTCACAGCATTTATGCTTCGGCTGCAAAAGCAATGCAGTGCAAGATTGATTATTTCTGGCAATCACTGGCAATCATCCCAATTGACCTTGGATCGCCCTTTGGAGAATCTAAGATCCGTCATACACGCGTAGTTTCAGTTTGGCCTAACCGCTTCATTTGGAGGTTGCTGTTTGTCTCATTCATCCACGAATGGTTTGGCGGAGAACCCAAGCACGCGCGGAGACTTCCACGCGATGATTGCCGGGGGCTTACTCGCTCGATGGCGATGGTGTGGGTCGGCAATGGGTTGAACGCTCGGTTTGGGGGGTTTTGGGGGTGAGAAACTGCGCGAAGGGCGATTTTAAGCGACCAATCCCAACCAACAACCACCCAGGCCCAGTCAAACAATGAAGCGTGTAAGACCAAACCAATTATGGCTCCAGGGTGAGAAAGAAATATTCCTTGGTCCGGCAACAAAGTTGCAGTGTTGGAAAACAAAGTTTCCAAGGAAGAAGGTAAAAGGGTTGGGAAAGGGGAGGGTAAGGTGAAAGCGAAAGACGGTCCTCCATGTTTCTTGTTTGAGGCAGCCGACTGCTTGGAGCAGGCTCGCGGCTTGGCATTTTTTGCCGAGGCGCAACGCCTCGCGGCGCAACGGGCTGAGGCCACGGGGGTCCGCTCTGCGCTCGCTGCGCGCGTGTGACTTCACCTTGGCGGAAAGGGGCACCAAAAGGAAAGCAACATGTTTTGAGGTTTGAACAATTCCTGTTTGGTCGGGGTCCCGTTTTTGGGCGCGTGTTCCTTGCAATCTTCACGTTGTTCGGTGACACCCTTGAAATATGCTCAACCCGACAAGGAACTAGGCCGTTTTGAAGGGCAAAATCGGGGGTCCACCTACCTTCGCCCGTTGGCCTCAAACGTCCGAAAATCCGCTTGACAAAGGGCAACATCCAAAATTTGACATACTTCAGTCAAGTTCTCATTTTCCAGCGAGCGCGCATTCCGACACACCATTCAGGCTCAGCGCCAGGAGGCGCAAGAGGAGGCGGAAGAGGAGGCGCAAGAGGCGAGAGCCCGGGAATGGGCCCAGGCGATCTTTGCGCGGCGCCCTATGGTTTCCCAAATAGCTAGTTTCAAAAGGTCTGTAATTACCCAAAAGGAAGCACCCCGAACCCTAGCGTCCTGGGACAAAACTAGACGGACCATGCATTGATTGCCTTCACGTCGCCCTGGAAGCGCGCGCAGCACGGGGGTTTACAGGTCGGAACACCTGGAAACATGGTCCTGGGAAAATCACGGGTGGCAACCGGTGGCAAAACGAACGAGAAACCACGAGGATGTTTCACGTTGAACTGTTCTAATTTGCCCGGATTCAACAAATTCTATCGCCGACCCTGGAACCCTGGAATCAAAAAGAAACTTGCAGATTTGCGATTCTTTTCAAAGTGAAGGGTGCCCTTAGGGCACTCTCATTTGTCAGCGAGGTGTTTCCGGCTAAATTTTGCAGGTAGTTCAAAAGCAGGACTAAAAATCCCCTTATCCACACTCAACATAAAGGAAGCCGTTTGCCACAGCTTGCCAAACAAAGGGGACTCAGAACAAAACACAATGTTTTCCTTTTTCCCTTCGCAAACATTTCAAGAAACGCGCCAACAAAAGACACACCCCGAAACACTAGGGAACCGTTGTGTGGTCGTTTCCTGCCAAAAACATCGGAGTTGACCTCGTGTCCGGCGCCTGCGCCTTCGGTAGTGCATGGAACCCTCCACCGCGCGAAAGGCACTTCGAGGGTCCCAGATCTGAAAACCTACCTAGCAATCAAATATCTTACACATATTTGGAGGTCAAAACGATGTTGTGTTTGAAGGTTAGCGAAATATGAAAGAGAAGCTGAAAGTACCCAGCCCCTTTACAACCGTAAATATGAATATATATATATATGTATACACAAGCTTTTCGTAGCCACTGGTTCTTGGGTATGTCAACGTCAGAGACTCTTAAGGGTGAACAGAGGGAATTGTTTCCACGGCTTCCGTCGTCACTTTTCCCATGTGAATTTGGCTGCCTTGCAAGGGCCCGGCAGAGGATATGGGCGGACCCAACTCCTAGCCCAACCAACAGACAAACAAACAAACAAACAGACAGACAAACAAGAATGTGAGCCTATTGGTCGGTTCTGTTTTTGACGCTTTGCCTCTTGTTGGTTTGTTGGTTTATGTTTGGTTCCCTTTGGTCATGGGCTGCTCAAAGGAGCCATCCCAGGCCGCTGCCGAACCGTTGCCAGCGCCTGCACTTCCGGCGAAGGCAAAGGCGCGAATTGGCCGGGTTGAGGTAGCATCACTCAATCCCGAACTGCCGACACAAAAATGTGGAATCCACTGAACGACTCTTTTTGTCGGTTCCCTCGGCTTCCTTTTTTTCAGCTACCCTACGAACTGGTGATCAACTGGGACGTCGTTTTTGTTTTGAGGTGGCCGCTCATAGCCTGGCAAATTGTATGGGGGGGTTTGGACACAAGTTCTGTGAGCCCAAAGGTTTGGGGTCCAAAACCCTATTTGAACGCAAGTAAAAAGTGTTACGTTCAAGTAAGAACGAGCCATAGGAATCCAACTGTATCAGGCCGGGAATGACCATGTGATGCTGGTCGGTTCGTGGATCCCCAACAAAATATGTTGGATATGACGGCGACATGTCGTTTTCCATTGAGCCTCATTTTGTGATTCGCAACGAGGTACATTACTTCTAGTTGTCTTTTTACGGAATACTTGCTGTTCATTGTGTTTCGTTTCTTGCCAACATGTCTGGGCCATTGTGAGGTGTTGGGCTCCCCATTCGGAACTTTCTTCGGTGCGATTTTTAAGTTGGCTTGATTTCGTTGGGCCCCAGGGGCCTTTTGAGGCGTGCCCGCGGGGGCCTTTTTGCGTGTGCCTTTTGTCCGATAGGCCTCGCTGGGCGAGTGTGCCATCTGCGGGCAGGAGATGGAGGCGCGGGGGTGGGGACCTAGGTGGGTGTGTCTTCTTTCTTTCCTTTTTTTTGGGGGGGGCGGGGGGTTGGAACAGCTGTTGGTTGGTTTCGAGGGGAAACTAAAAGGAAACACACACATTATGGAGCTTCCAGAATGGAGAGTTTGAGGGCTAAGGGGGCAGATTGTTGCCTTGGTGTGCTTCTAGAATGGCATGTGGGTTTTCCTTTTGGCCTCCCTGTAAATGCCAACCAGAAGGGCGATTCACAATCTTGAACCCCCCCAATCATGTGCGCAGAAGGCCTTTTGCCTTCTTTCCATTGGGACGGGCAAATTCTGGGATGACGTCCGTCTGGACGGTGTCAACCAACCTCTGGGATTTCAACTCTATGGTGTCCGGCCTCTTACCATCCTAAACTCCAAGGCTTCCACTTCGGCAAGCGCCCGCGTCTCGTTTGCTACAACTTGCTGCTATTGTTTGCTTGAATTCGTCGTACGATCCTTTGCTGCTTTACTTGGTTTGAGTGTTGCTTTCTGTCTTGCGCTCGCTTCTTGGGGAGAATCCTAGCCTTGTTGGGTTGCCACAACCGCAAACACAAAAATCAGACTTTGGAGGGGGGGACGCCTACTCGCACTCATGGAGCTGGCGCCTTGAATGGGGCACAGAGCCGCTGTCAAAGTGATACACAAATTGCTCATTGTAATGTTAATAATAAACCCCTGGTTGATTAATAGAGGGGGGTGTCCCCTTTTAGTGGAGATTCAGACCACTTTTGGAGGGAACACCCCCCCAATAATCCCGGATCAACATTGCTGCGCATTTGTAGCTCACCGGGGCGGAGCGGGGAGTGGCCATGCTTTTCGCGCATGCTGCACTCACAATACGCAAAGGGCGTCATTGAATCCCGGCCAGTTCCAAAATTTCCCTGTCGTGACTATCACTCGTTGTCTCCTCAGAAAAGTGCGTCCCACGAATCCAGTGCGATGAAAAGGAAGATGGTGACTTTTCGGTGTTCTGAATACCTTGAAAGATGTAAATGTCCGTGCGAGGGAACTGCACAGAGATCAAGAGCCGTTAATTTTCAGATTTTCTGGGGAGGAGCACGTTTGATACGATGTGTCGCCACCATCTTCTTTCCAGAGTTTTGTGAAGCCTATGGGTATGCGCCATTTGGAGAGGCTGGTTAGGTCTAACCCTCAGTATTTTCTGACCGGTTCTCGTTAGAGCTTCTCCCAGCGAAAGTGCATCTTTTTTTCGGAAGGATGGCCGTTCTCTTTGATGAACGGAGCCTGTGAGGCCCCTTGACTGAACAGGCGGCATAGCATTGAGTGGGCGGAAACAACTCTGCCGGAGGTCGTGCCTTTGAGTCTATTTCACATTGAGGCGTGACATGTTTTGTGCGTGAATGTCCCTATGTTGAATATCAGCCAAGTGATGGCTTCCTTTGAAGAGATCCCCAAATTTATGCCTAAAACTCCGGTTGGTTCCACCAGAAGTCTTCACTCACTTCCTGAGTTTCGCGCCCCTGAACGTTAGTCACTTTAAGCTGGTTGGACAAGCTCAGTAGCAACTAGAAAGTAGTGCCCTTTTACCTTGTTTTGGGGAGGGTTCTCCTACCAAAACAGACGACAGAAAAGAGTGGGTACTCTTATTCTAACCTCTCTACTGGACCTAGGAAAGGTGCGGTCCCCTCGTTTTTTTCTGGAGCAATCCACTGAAGCGACAGGCCATTCGCCTGGTGAAGACGCTGCCCTGCCCGACTGCCCGGGAATGTTACGGGTCGCCACCTTGGAATCCACCCACTTTGGGGGTCGACCCAGCAGTTTTGTTGAAGTATGGGTCAAAATTTAACCGCCAGAGAACCTGAAATTTGACTCCATGTTTCCATCCAGGGTTCCATGTTGGGTACCTATGTTTGACCCACAACCAAGTAGATTCTAGATTTGGCCAGAGGTCTTTTTGAGGCCTTGCAAGTTTTGCTTTTGGCCACTGGCGGCCAATTGCTGGTAGCCCAGTTGCACCATGAGGCATGTACTGTTTCTGGCCCTTTGTTGCTCAGCCCAGCACAGAACGATTGGCAAGAGGGCCTAGCATTTTCCCAGAGGTTGCCGCATCGGCGTCTTGTTTCAAAGAGACACCACCATTTGTTGTCGAGCGTTTTTGTGTGGATGTCGCTTATTTCCTGAACCGTTTCCTTCTCATACATCGTTCCGCTTCTTGTGGTTCTTTATCCTGGTGTCGGTCTTATCACTATTGCATTTGGCCTTGTTGTTGCGCCCTTTCTTCCCTTGCTTTTGCCTCGCCTCCGCCTCCTCCTCCCCCATTCGTCTCTTCTCGCCTTCTCCATCTCCTACTCCTTCTACCTGGAGTCTCCAAAGCCCTTAAAAAATGGGGTCGTGACCCAAAATACATGGGTCATTGACCCATTTTCGAAGGGTCTGTAGAAAGACTCCAGGTACTGATGTTTGTTCATCCTATGCCGTGGCATCCAATTTGCTTTTGCGTTGCTGAACTCCACGTGCATGGCCGAGGCAGCCATATCTTCCACTACCAATGCATCGACGAGTATCACAGGCACGAGCATCACAAGTCTGAAAGGTAGACTTCTTCTTTCCTTGATCATCTTGCTGATTCCGAAGAATAACCTTTGGACCTGAGTTTGTTTTTTCGCGGCGCTTTTGTCTCGAGAAACCGAAGCATCGCGTCCCAGAGTGGAAAGCTGAGTAAAATCTGGCATGGTTTTTGGTTTGAGGGAGACCCGTTTTAGCATAGGTTTCGTTTTGGCAACATAAGATTAAAGCACAAGATAAACTGTTCAGGGACAACTTTGGACGCAATTGACATGATGCAGTGGCCCTCCCCCTGAGGAAAGGGCAACAACAGTTGGTCCGAAAACTGGTCCCGTACCTGGTTTTACTGGGAGGGTTGGTTCTTCCGCTTATTAAATAGGGATATGGCTCGGTACCTGGGAATTCAATGGCTGCAGCCCGGCCTTCGGCCTCGAGCTTCGAGCTTCGAGCTTCGGGCCGGGAGGGGGTGGTTTGGCCTCCCTCTGGGGCTCGCGAGGCAAAAGCTGCGGGAGAAGAACGTGGACCTCCCGTGCTTCACCTGTGGCGCTGCTTGCCACAAGCCCTGCCACCCAGAACCCCGACGCGAGACTTGCAGCCTTGGATCCCAGGATTGAGTTCTTCCAAGTCAGACATGTTTGGTCTTAAGGGGTGTTTTCTGGACAGAACGTCACCCGACTCCCACGGAAAGAGGCCTTGAGCGGTTTCAAGGGAAACCCGCCACAATGTAAGTAACAAAGGAAACCAAAAAGAGATAAGTAACTTAGTCATTTGTTCCAGAGCCCCTGTTCGACAATCTGTCCGATGATCAAAACACCGTTGGGTAGAAAGCTTTGTGAATGCCGCCAGGGCCCACATTTTTCTACGTCCGATCGATCGAAAGACGAATGCAACCCGAAGCTTTGGTCGTGAGTTTGGCCGTGAGCCGGTTCTTGCGGGGTTGGGGTTGGGGTCCCTGACAGATCCGTGGATGGACGAAATCCATTTCGCACCACCTGAGAAGCCCTGGAATGATGATTCCCCTGTAAATGCCAACGAACAATGGCTTCCTATTGTTTTGTAGGTGCTCCATCCACAGTAGGCAAAAAAACAAAGTGCTTCCCGGGCAACGCTGCGCCCACAAATCTCCGTGTCCCACGTGCCCCAACCCCGCGCACCCCTTCGAACAGCTCGAGGTCCATAGCTGCGTTGATGGCAGAGAGGAGCAAAGCGCGGGAGCAGGCCACATGAAGTTGGCCTGCAGCCGGTTGGAAGTACTTCTCAGTGAAACTCAACAAAAAACCGACCTGGACACTCAACAAAAAGAATTCACCCACCAGAATTTTGGGTTGCAGTAGCCCACGTTTATGGAAAACTATTGTTCAGGTACAGGTGCAAGGTGGGGTGTTTCTTCGCTCCGTTTCTTTGTCAGGCCGGACAGGCTCGAGACCCTTGATTCGAAGCCTCGAAACGGGATTCGTTTTTGGCCTTTCCTCATGGCAGACCCTCCAAACGAAACGGTAAGACAGCGAGACGGAAGTACGTTGGGTTGCCTGGAACTGTGAGCAAACAGGCATTGTGCGGAACAGCTCGGGCAAAGGCCTTTCATTGGCTTCCAGTCTTCTCACGTTTTCACGTTCGGACCTGTGGCTCAATTGCAACTCGGACGGCTGAACACGGAATCAGCCACATCCTTATCCAAAGGAACACCAAACAGGGATGGGTAAGTGTTGGATTTTTTCAGAGCCCCATACTTGGCGCATTTGGCGCCCAGAATCCAAGGAGAGATGTCATATCTTGAGACACCCAGAATCTCTTTCACCCTCCGATCAGGCTGCTGAAGAAGCTGCAAGGCTTGGGGCTGACAACCCGGGCGAAAAGGGAGGGCGCTTTGCGATCCTTTTTGTTTTCAATCAAAGCAAGCGATTCCCAGGAAGGTCCCTTACAAAGTTTCCTCAGGATGCAGGTTGTGGTAACCCTTCCGATCTCAGCGGGGCGCTACATGATCCCCATGAAGTTCACCCAATCTTAAACCGTACATCTTTGTTTTACGTCATGGTGTTCAACAAATGCGCGTGTGCTTGGATCCCAAGGCGCTCTAGGAAGTTTCATGAGAAGCTCTTCACAAGGATCATCTAGCCGGTGTTGGGAAGGGAGCCGAAGCTGTAAGGACATGGTATGCAAGCAGCTCTTTCGCGATTTCAGCATTTCAAAGTTTTGCAAGCTGTCAACAGCACGAAACCCCTGATTTCGGCATTCCAACGCTTTACAGGCAGTCAGCGTCGCTCGTGCAAGCTATTGCTCTCATGTCAGCCTTGGGCTGGAAGTATAGGGAGCGGGAGCCCTTCACTGGGCGAGAAAACCGGTGAGGGAAGTGCTCCGGCATGGTATGACTGGGCAAAGGGTGCAAGACGAGCTCAGTCATGAAGGTTACATGATTCCTTGTTTCCAAGTTGCATAAGTTTGCCCAGATGAGGATGTTGGCGTCCCGTTTGTAATGTTTTCTCAAGCGCCCCCGGAGTTTGGACAGCTCTGAAAAAGCCAGGGAAGGAATTTGGCACGGCAGGATGCCGGCCAGGCACCAAATGGGGATTGTTTCACTTGGGACGCCTGGATCTGTTGCAAAAGTCAAGTCATCGGGGCCGAAAGGACTCCAGAGATTCCCCCCGGGTCCCCCAATCCCCGCCGGTTTCCCCAAACGGCCCTAGAAAGGCCTTGCAAAAGGCCAGGGCCTGTCCTAGGGCAGGCAGATCATTTGCATAGGGGCCGTGTCCTATGTGTTTCCCCGGTTAGGAGTGGGGCCCGTCCAGCAAAAAGGAGGCCCAGAAACTTCGGACGAAACCGACAAAGCCGCATGTCAGGCAAGCCAAGGAGAGCCGAGCCAAAGAGTATGGCACCCAGATGGTACCCGCGGCTGTCATAGGTAACCCTTGCTTTTAGTTACATCGATTCCACTGGTTTCGGGTACCTAGGTGCCGATTGGGAGTGTAAATGGGTCTCTCTTTCTCTCTCTCTCTCTCTCTCTCTCTCTCTCTCTGTCTTTTTGAGGGTTTGCTGTGCCTTTGGGTTGAACAGAGAAACCGAAAAAAAATATGGCTTTTCGTTTTCAGAAAGAATCATCATGCCCACATGTTTAAGATCTCAAGATCTCAAGACGGGTCCCTCAAAAGGAGAAATTCCGTTGATAGCATGAACCTTAATAGGAAACTTCAAGAGTGCTTGGATAAATGATGTCCACCAGAGGCTCCGGGCCGATGAAAATGAGAATTCAACCAAAGGATTCGGTGGTTTGAATGTGGAACCTGAGCGCGGCTGTTCCTTTTGGGTCTGGTTGAACATTGGATTCCGCAAGTTCCGGTTGAGTTCGAATTGTCGACACGAGCTCACCGATTTGGGCATAAAACGAGGGCGTAAAACGACCAAGCGAAACACCTGAAGGTCCGGAGACATTTTCCTGGTGCGATCTTGTGCAAAAGAGCTCCCAGGCTCGTGACAACGGACGCTTTTAAAGGAAGCCAGGTATTTGTTTTTTTTTGGTCCAGGCCTTGCGTGCTGCCTTTGTTTTTCTTGGATCAAAGCCTCAAGTGTCGGGAGTTTCTTTCCGCCCGTGTCCCGAAGTTGACTTGCCGGCGGTGTTCACTTGAGCCACAAGAAGCCTTTACATGGCTCTGGGTTCACCACCGACTTGAGTCACAATCAGAAGCCTTTACATGGAATCATTGGGTTTTGATTTTGACTCAACTTCGGTGTCCTTTCTGATTTTGACTCAACTTGTCGGAAGCCTTTTGATTGAAAGTTGTAAGATACCTCGATCCAAACCAGCGAGCAGCAAGCAAGCAGTACCTCTTGGACGTGCGAGGTTCCACTCCCTGGCTTTAGGGGGCCACGCCCAGTGAGGTCACCGGGCCTGGCTTGATGTTGTTTTGAAGGAAAACAGAATGGAGAGTTTCGCTGCCAGTTGCAAGCACCATGTTTCAAGCACTCGCCGGAAAAGCCGGAACTTGCCAACTTGTGTAAAGATGGAGCCGTCGACTTCTGCAAAGGAGACTCAGCTGTACCCTTCCTGGTCTGCTCTCTTCGTTTTTTCGGCCCAGGTGGTCCTTGGGCTTGGGGAGGAGGCCATGTCCCAACCTGGGGGGACCTTGACAAGCTATTGCAGTGGGACCCTGAACCAAAGTGCCAGCCATAACAATGGGTCTATGGCTAAACGCCCGTATTTGTTTGTCATTGTCCCAAAAGCAAGCCGAAAGGGCATTGGTCGCCTAAAGCCGCTGACGCCTAGTCCACCTGTCACCCTCAAATTTCCACAATGCCGAGGCCGGCGCCGCGCCGCAAGGGCGCGTTGGCCGCGTTGGCCGCCGCATCCCACGACCAAAAAGCGGATCCCTTCGCACGGTGAAGCCGCAGGTTGAGCTTCAGGGACAGAAACATCGTCAAGCCCAGCTCTTCTTTCTAGGGCAACCCAGAGTTCGCGTTGAGGGACCTCAAAATTTGACCAAGCCATTGCTTGCTTTGGGGATTCCTGAGCTTGGTGAGTAGTAACTTGCCCAGATCACAGGCATGGCACCCAAAGGCAAAGGAGCGGGGTCAGCGGGCCCGTTTTCCAAAGCCCCGTTCCTCCAAAAAAGGAATTTCAGATTCTGCGTGTTTTTGTTGGACTTGGGTTCAATATTTTCGGCTTGTCCCAAATTTCGAAAAATCCCGGAAACGTGGAGTTGGAGTTGTCGTTTGCCCAAAGCAAGCCCTAGAGACACGGGCCTGAAGTTCAATGATTTAGTCATTGGTTGGAGCATCAAACATGGTTGGAGGACAAGACTCCCCAATTGATTTTTTTGTGGCGTCTGCCAGCTCAGCGTGCCTGCGTCCGCAACTGCGTGGCTGCGACCTGGCGGCCTCCTGTCCAGTGTCTCGCAAGCCTGTCACCTTCTCCTCCACCAGCTTCGGCAAAGGCCCGGATTGCTGTGCAAGAAGGGCCTGCCGATTGCCGCCGGTACGCGGTCATCCGCGAGCTAGCACAGCGTCGGTCGCATGGGGAGCCAGTGACCACGCTCGTCATGCGCAGCCCTGCGACGGCTAGCGCCAAACACCGCGTTGTCTGGATCGGCAGCCGGATGCGGGTGGAGGCTCTGATGAGCAACCCAAGCCCCACCTTTGCCAACGATCTGTGGCGGTTGGGCGCGCTGCGGCCGGTGGCCAGCATCACCACCTGTGTCGGAGCAGCAGATTGCTGTCCAGCCCCCCTTGGATGCACCCTGCTTCAGCACGGGCATGGAGGTGGTGACCATCAACCTGGCTGATGTACACGCGTACTGCTTCCTCTACCAGGCCCTAAGGGTCTCCCTGGAGCAAGCGTCTTTGCACACCGACCCTCTTCGACCGCTCCTCCACGGCACGTGATCACGTTGTGTCTGAAAACCTGCTGGCTTTCTCGGCGTGGATGGGTCTGGGCAAGCCTGAGTCCCCAGTCCTCAGCACAGTGTGGGATGAGCTTCTGGGGCCACTTGGGTGCAGGCAGCAGCTCTGCGACTCCCTGCCTACGCCGTCCGACAGTCAGAAGTTCGTTCTCCAGAACATTGCGGGCGCGGTGACGGTAGTGAACAACTTCGCAGGAGGAGGCAAATCGACCTTGCTTCGCACTGTTATGCTCCACATCATGCGCTCGTCTTCTGGCCCAGAAAGCCCGCTGTTGTTCTTTGTGGCCCCGACCCAAAGCGTGGTGAAGGACTTTCTGGAAAGCACTCAGGCCAGCATCGGAACATCCACAGGAGTGGCAAGCTTGGGCTACGACGCAGGACGAAGATCTCTACCAGGCTCACCTGGCTGCGACAACACGCGATCTTCTACGACCTAGTGGATCGTTGGCTTCGCTTGATCCAGCCGGCGGTTCAGCAGCAGCAGCAGCTGCGGTTTTCAGGAGGCTCAGCGAGCCTGTGCGTTGGCCGGCAGCCTCCTTGCGTCCTGGTTCAGCCACCTCTACCGCGTGGTCTACCCTGCAGTGTACGAGATGCAGCAGGGTGCTGTGGCTCAGCTGCGGCTTGTTGGCATGACCACTTCCTTCATGACCAAGCTGCACGCCGGAGGGAGCAGATTGACTTGCGCCTTTGGTGGCAGGCGCCGCCTGGTCTTGGTTCAAGACGAATACATGTCTGAGCCAGCGGAGCGACAAGCTGTCAACTTGCTGCACTTCCACGCGGCCCTGCTGGTCGGCGACCCGCACCAATGCCCGGAGCCGCAAATGGAGCAGGGCAGTGTGCCCGATCGCAGGGAGGTGCCCGGGCGGCGGCTAGAGCCCCTGCAGGGCCACAGCTCCATGAGATGGGCTAGGGCAAGCCCATGCAGGGGAGCGAGACCTGGCGCACCGGCGAGCCCGGCCTCACCTTCCTCAGGCACGTCTTCGCTCCTATGCTGGACGCGTGCAGGGCAGCAATGCGGCGGCCAACGCACTACTTCCCCATCCTTTTCTACAAGGTCACCGACTGTGCGTGCAGTGCTTTGGGGGAGTGCTGCGAGTCTCGCACTATCTTTGTGCCCTTCATCCTGGTCGTGGCCTTAGAGCTTTTGCTGGGTGACCCGTCCAAGAAGATCGCGATCTGCGGGCTCATGGGTGCAGAGGGCGCTGCCGGCGGTGGCTGCAGCTATGGCATGGCTGCTGGGGCTGAGCCTGGCCAGCGACGCAGTGGCTGAGCTGGCCCGGCTGGAACGCCTGAACTTCCGCGGCCCTTTCGCCACGGGTGGCCTTGACGCGGATGTCGTCATCTGCTGCGGCTTTCGCCGCACTGAGGATAGGGCGTGGCAAGGCCTGGCTTTGGAGCGGGCGCTGGTGTACGCGCATCTCAGCAGGGCCCGCCTGCGGTGCTATTGCTTGCTGGAGGCCAGAATCCCTGGTTCAAACTGGCGCAGGGTACTTGTTTGCGCAGTTTGCGTGTCCTTGAGAGAGGTTTTGGCAGGCCTTGGGTCCAGATGTCCTTGCAAGTCTTTAACTCCCCGAGCTTTCGCGATGCTCCTGCGCAGGACATGCGCTGGGGAGTCCAGCTACCCTGCCACGGTGACCTGCGCGACCAAGGACTAGTGCTAGGACTTAGCACAAGGCAAGTTGCCGCGCCCCAACATGTCCCTGAACCACACAACTGTGGTGTAGAGGGCCAGCTCCTATGGGTCAAGGTCCTGAACTGCACCTGGACGACGACAGATTGTCCACATCTTCCAGCCCTGCTTCAGAGCCGACAGTTCTGGCAATTGCTGGGCCTGGGGGAGAGAGCTGAGGAGATCGTTGGGAGATGCAGTGGGGTGGCACAATCTTTGTTCCATGCGCAGGCAGAGGCCCAGAGCCAGCATGTGTCGCCACTGAAAAGTGGGGCTGAGTCCTTTTGGTGACGTTGCAGAGTGGTGCCAGTTTCTACAGGAGGGCCCGCTGGACTGCCAGGCTCCCACCGGTCTCCGGCAATACGGCTGGGCAGGGCCCTGGAGCGTTGTGGGGGCGGCAGAGCAACAGGACACGGGATTCTTGCCCGATCTCCAGCGGCTTTGGCAACTACTCCGGATCGATTCCTTGGCGGTCACCGTCACCTCTCCCCAGGACGTGCTGGTGCAGGTGCCGTTGAATGCCCACATGGCTACGGCTGAGGCGGCGCGCCTTCTGGGCATCACGGACATGCGTGCTCTTGACCCCAACTTCGTGGCCGAGCAGATCGTGCGGGTGGCCTTTGAGCAGTACTATCTCTCTACCGAGGAGGCAGCCAGGTTCCAGAGTGAGGGAGGCCGTTTGCGGACGGCAGTGTCGTCTCACAAATGGGACGCCGCTTCCGTAGGAGACCGCACGTTTTGGATCTCACAATGCCGTTCTGTCAGACCGGCGTGCTGTGTAGTCTTCGAAAAAGAAGGCAAAAGGACAGAACTTGTCCATATGTATGCTGCTATGGGGCTTCATCGCGCCCACGAATTCCAGCAAGTGCTTGTGGGAGATGCAAATCCCCATACGTGGCTTTTGCCATTTTGCGCGCAGCTGCAGATTTTCTGCACTGCAGGCTTCGGCCTGATCTGCTACAGGTTTTCTTAGATCCCAGTTGCTTGGCTAGCGGGGGGAGCTGAAGAGCCCTTGCCTCCAAGTGAGCCTGCCAACGTCTCGGAGGTTTTGGGTCAACAAGTGGATCCAGAGCCGCTACAGCTGTTGCACAGAATGTCGGGCTGAAAGCAAGCTGCGGGGTGCAGGCATGCCGTGGAAGGTCAGTGGCAGTTGCGGAGCGGCGCACGGAACTTTTCAAGGGGAGCACTTGTCGAGTCCGCTTGAAACTGCAAAGGTGGGGGAAAATTCAATCCCTGCTCCCTCCCAATTCGAATTGCTTTCATTCGACCAGTGAATTGCTGGTAACCCCCCGGCACGTGTTGTTAGAAGTTCCTACAGGTGTCGTTTTCTATGTCAAGAGCCCAGGAGTCCTGAGAATGCCGAAAAGGCTTCAGGTCCTTCACGCCGAAAAAAATAAGTGTGGCATCCGCTCCTCGGTGGGATGTGTGACACTTTGTTATTGAAAATGTTGGCATTTCCCACTCCGCAAAAAGTGTTCGACCTGTCGCGCCCTGGAGAATCACAGATGGATCAGAGGTGAGTCCGGGGTGGGGCCGGTTGATTGATGTGTTTTGCTCGGCCTCACCCGTCCAGCTTGTTATGAATTCCCACAGCTGCGCCAACTCCAAGCTCACCTCAGGTTGGTGAATTTTAGTGGTTTGCCCTCCGATCTCAGCTGGGCGCTACATGATCCCTAGGAAGTTCACCCAACAACAGCCACCAAAAAATACCAAATGCGTCATGCTTCCTGCAACCATGCAACTGTCATACAAGCCAAATAAAAACGAGTCACACCTTTTTCCCACCTCAAGTGTCAAGAAGAGAGACTTGCATTTTTCGAATTTTTCCGTGTTGCGGAGCTCCAAAGAGGACCGGGCTTTCCCCCCATTCGACGCTCCGCTTTCGGTCCCGCGGCGCTCGGAGCCATGGAGCCCCCGGAGAAGAAGCCGCGGCACGACGGCGTCACGGACTTCGCCAGGGGCCAGCGGGACTTCTCTCAGGCGACGCTTGGGGGGTCAGGGTTGGGGGCTTCAGAGAGGTGGTGAGTTCTTGGTTGGTGGTTGGTGGCTTTTGGTTGGTGGTTGGTAGTTTTGGCATGTAAGCAAGCAACTTTTGTTTGAACCCGGAAGTGATTTGAAGATCCCTACAAATTATGGGGCGGGGCTGCCCCTATCATTCAACCAGGGCGTCCACACGTGTTGCTCATGGAAAGTAGGAGCCGACCAAAATATATCTAGTTGATTCGGGACCAGTAGACACTAACCCATTTTGGTGTGTCTTTCTGTTGAGGGTACCCTTTTTATGTTTTTTGTTTTTGTTTATTTTCTCGAAGAAAGACTCAAGGAACAACCATCGTTTCGGTGATGTTGTATTTTAAGACACGCCCTGGCAACCAACCCGCCAGAGGGATACGCCCGGAACAAGAACCAAACCCAATTCCTTCAAAGGATGCTTTGCAAACGGTCATGTGGCGCTTTGGGAGAAGTTGTCTAGGGATACCCCACAAATTGTTTTGAGACAACCAAGCCTGGAGGTAAACCAAGGGAAGTTGTTTGAACTGAAAAATAAGTTCCCTTGGTCCCATCCCTTAGCCCAACACCATACCTTCACTCAGAGGCGCCGAGCGCCGGCGAGAGCAAGGCGATTTGCGCGGACTTCACCAGCAAGGACTACCCGTTTGTTCGAACCGAGTCCTGGGAAGCCTACCTTGGTCAAATGGAACTCTTGGCGTGAGATTGAGGATACTGATATTTGGAGCCAATGATGAATAGACAAGCATGCTGTATTCCTTTATGGTCATAACTTATGGCTGTTTTACGTACGGATGTCAATCAATTATTCTGGCCAAAAGAAAGGCAACGGATTGCACTCCAAACTGTGCCTGTTTGGGGAGCGCCATGACTACTTGAAGGAAACCGACCGGAAACCAACCATTTCTGGGGGCCGTGCGCTCAATGTTGCGGCCAAGACGGTTTTGTTTGCCTGGCATTCTTTGATCCCCCGGCGCGTTTCTGAACCTTGGGAAAGACAGAGCTCGATTTGGAGACAGAGCTCGATTTTTCAGCACGATTTGGAGGATGAGGATGTCAAAGCAACGGGTATGCCCCACTTTGGAGCTGACTGCTGGGAGAACCGATGTGGCTGATTTGAAGAGTTGCCCCCGTCAAAGTGGGAGGTGGACATGAATCCCATCCCAAATGAGGGTCCTTAACCTTGGGAAGACCATTTTCGTGGCAAATACAAAGTTAGGACATTGTTTTGTCGATCGACTCTTACGAAGTCCACAAGCTGATTTGGTGACTGGATATACTTAATGAGCAGACCGTGGGGGCAGTTCCTTCTTCTTTTTGCTCGAGAGGGCTGAGCCTCGTTGAAATCAGCCAAGAAAAGGGTGCCGATTCTTTTTTCCCCATGGGCAATCCACTGTATCTATAGTCCTTAGCCGGGCGTGACGATGCGGACCTCCCCTCGTGTCTTTCCGTGGCTCCTTTGTGTTTGGAGTCGTTTGCTCCCGGCCCCATTTTCCAGCTTCGCTTTTTTTGAGGTCTGTTTTGTGCTTTTGCCGGTTTTGGTTGACCCCTTGAAATCTCCAAATGTGTGTTTTGTGCTTGTTTCTCCCGGTACTTTGTGTTTTCTAAATTCCCATGGCGAACAGCACACGGTCCCAACAACTGCTTTTCCTCCAAACCAAAAAGCAGTGGTAACCCAGCTTCCGCCTTAGGAGAAGGAGTACACGAACGGGGTCAAGGCAGCGAGGCTTAGCTCATTTCGGTGACCGGCGTTGTTTGGATTGGGTTTTGGAGGACCTCTTTATGCTCTTTGTCCTCAGTATGTTGGACCTGTTTAGATTCTGGCCGGCTCCATGGCTCAGCTTGAGTTTTCCGAAGTCAAGAGGGGATGGTTGATGCGTCCTGACTTGTGCGCATTGCAAGTTTTGGAGGGGCAAGCCGGATGTGTGCTTTTTTGAGGCTCCGTACCCTTTTGGGGGGGCTCCCCTACTTTGACAGTATCTCTTGGTGGGTTTGGTACCCTTTTTGGGGTTGGTTTGATTTTAGGTTGAAGCCAGAAGGAAAATCAAAAAAATGTTCCGGGTCGAAATCCCATTGAAGCCGATTCGGCCGCAAGGAACAACTGGAAGAGCCACAAGGGCCCTTTGACGGGAGAGTTGGTGCGGATCCCGGACGTGGACTCTGGCTATCCCAAAAGCGTGTTCCCGACTGAGTGGGAGGAGCCGAGACACCGGGAGGAGTTCCGGGATGTGATTTGGGGATGTGTCCAAATAAAGTATGGAAGCCATAGCATTTCGGGTTTCGGTTTCCTTTGTCCCGTTAAGAACAGCCCGAAAATGGAGGTACCCTCAAATATCACAGGTGACCCATTCGGTTTGGATTGGTGGCCCCCCTAAGCTCCAACCCACCAAGCGGAAAGATCTGAGAAGCGATGTGGATCTCAAGAGTTCTCCAGCGTTGCTCGCTGAATCGAGCAACACATGCGAAGCGGCTCTCGCAAACGAAAAAGATCAGCTGCTGCAGCTGCGATGTTGGAGCGCCTTCCTTTTTCGAGGGTCTGGACACTTTTCCCGAGCCTTCCCCAGGGTACCATGAGCCTCACGGGGACAGCGGGGCCCAATTTTAGCTGGGATTGTTTTTGGGCGCGTGGTTGAAACCAGAGTCACAGTGCCTTCTCATTTTTGTTGAGAAGGTACGCTTTTCTGGCTTGTTTGTTTTTTTTGAGGGGGGGGGGCGCTTTCTATTGAAAGACTGGCAAAGAAACCTAACCACCACACCGTGCCGTGCGACTCGATAGGAGGGCCAGGCTTTGCCCCTGTCGGTGCAGAGCTTCGATCTCGGCACCTCGATCGACCAAAAGCGCGGATGGCCGCTTAGTTTGGTTTCAACTTCACTGGGGTTGGTCCATTGTTTGGTGTTGCTTTGCTTTTTGGTTTGTTGCCATAGGGGGCTGGCAAGAAACAAAAAGTTGAAATTACCAAAAAGGGTACCCTCAAAAAAGACAAGCCCATATTGGTTCTGTTCATTCTTTCGCGACCCCCAAATCATCTTCCCTTACCAAAAAGAGGGAAGGGTTGCCTCCCGCAACCGACGAAGCCGTATCAAAATGTTCGAGGTTCGCGAAAAACCAAGTCCTAAAACACACACAGGCACGAATGGAGGTCACTTCTGCTGGGGTGCTCAGGCTCAGCCAGCTTTAAGGTCCCCCCAAGCGCCAAGGCCAAAAATGTGGATGTCCCCTTGAAACTAGGGCAGGCGTTGTCCCGTTATGAACAAGCCTTGTGGGATTTCCGTTGAAAACAAGTTTGAAGGCGTATCCCAATCAAAACTAAGTGGAAGAAGGTGCTGCTCTGCTCCCAAGAAAACGCATGGCAAACCGATTCGTGACCTCAATTGGCCGTAATGCATCTGTTTGAAAAAAGCGGAACCCAATTCCGAAACGAACCCTTTCTTAATTGATAGGGGCCATTCTTGATGTGTCTTATGTCACGTACGCAAGGGCTACAGGCAGCTAGCCAATCCTCCCGTGGTCGGTGGGAACTTTGGCAATTCTTGTAAGCGGTTTGCTAGTGTTTGTCCGATGTTACACCATTGAAGGGTTTGGCCAACGTTCGGCGCGGCGCACTTCATCCAAGGGCCGTTTAACTCATGGCTGTTTCTCAAAATGATAAACCCCTTATAGGTTGGTGTTTTCTTCAGGGTGTCTTGTTGGGCAGCCAACCATGTTTGAATCCTTTGAGAAACACCCTGACACGGTGGTGAGTACCCGCTCGCTATCTCGGGCGCTCGCTATCTCGGGGAGTGAACTGAGGCAACGGCTTCCCGGACCAGAACGAGTTCCGCATGAAGTTCGGGGCGCCCCAGCCATCTGGTTCCGTGTGGTTTTTCTTTTTTCGTTTCGTGGGGTTTCGAAGGGGATGCCCCGGTGCGGGGGCGTTCCTCTCGCCTTTTTTTTTGAGGCGAGGGGTGCCGTCGTTGGGTTGGTTTCAAGGGAAACTAGCAACAAAGCGTGTGTTTGGACGGGTTGGGGTGGTGCTTTGCTTTTTCTAGGGCGCCTCACTTCTTGCGCGTCCAAAGCCCGGCTTGGGTGTGAGGGCAAGCCGAGCGCTGTGAAACGCCGGAAGGACGGAACCAACCGGCCCACTTTTCAAGACAAACAAAAAGGAGGCTGTCTAAGCTCGATCACGGGGTGCATTCCGCAATTGGTTTCTGTCGGCTGGAATTCACGGTACTTGGGTTTATGTCCAAAAGGAACTTCCCCACACACACACACACACACACACACACACACACACAAAGAATATATAAAAAAAAATGGAGGAGTGTGTCCACGTCACTGTTGGCATGTGTTTAGGTTGTTTGGGTTTGGTTCTGTTCATTGAGTTGCAAGGGGGCCGCAACCAAAATGGTCGCTGACTTCCATCGAATCCCAGGTCTTCGCCCTCGAACTCGGTTTGGGTCAATCGGGAGCATTTGGCAGTGCTTCTCGCGGGCTTCACCAAACCTCGGCCATTTCTTGCCAAGAAAACAAAATCACTTCGGGGCTTTGGCTCGGCTTAGGGGCTGCAAAAGAAACCGGGTAGTCGTTGGTATGGAAAGCTGATCGCTTCACAGGCAGCCCCAAAACCTCAACTGGGCGAATTCTGAGCTCGCGGAGAATCCAGCGGAGGTGTCTTTCGGGCTCTCGACCCAAGCAACCAGCCAAGCAACCAGCCAAGCAACCAGCCAAGCAACCAGCCAAGCAACCAGCCAAGCAACCAGCCAAGCAACCAGCCAAGCAACCAGCCAAGCAACCAGCCAAGCAACCAGCCAAGCAACCAGCCAAGCAACCAGCCAAGCAACCAGCAAGCAACCAGCCAAGCAACCAGCCAAGCAACCAGCCAAGCAACCAGCCAAGCAACCAGCCAAGCAACCAGCCAAGCAACCAGCCAAGCAACCAGCCAAGCAACCAGCCAAGCAACCAGCCAAGCAACCAGCCAAGCAACCAGCCAAGCAACCAGCCAAGCAACCAGCCAAGCA